CTGAACCCCAACGCTGCACACCCCTAGGACTGTGCACCCCGTCTTCACTGAGGGTGGGAGCGCTGTGGCTAAGTCTGCCCTCCGGTCCTCGGGTCTGAGCGAGCTGAGGCACAAAGATGTGGAGGTCCCACCGGGAACCAGCGGCTGTGAGGCCCCGAAGCCCTCCATGCCCATCTGCCGTTCCTGTGCCGCGGATGCAGTCCGCCTGGGCCTGGCTCTGAATGGCTGGGCCTGGTGCCCACGGCCTGGGGTCGCTGTTGTCTTCCCCGGAGAGCTGCCCGGTCCAGCGTCAGCCCCACGGTCAGCCTCGCGGTCAGCCCGCTGGCAGCTCTGGGCGGGCGGAGGAGGGGCGGGCCTGGCGGTCGGGCCGCGGTCCTCGCTGGGGTGGTCACCCGCTCGGACAGGTCAGCGCCGTCTCCAGCCCGGGGGCGGCCCGGCTGCCAGGACTCACTGCCCACTGGCGCTCTGCCCGCCCTCCGGAGCCGCGGCCGGGGGTGTGCCGGGGGAGGCGCCGGTGGGAACGGTGAAGTGGGGGTGCCCGGGCTGGGACCCCGCTGGGAGGTCCTGGGCGCGGCGGGTCCGGCCCGGAGCTTAGGGGATGGGCATAGGCCTGGACAGACCCCGCCCGCCTCCCTCCCGCCGGCCCGGGGCCCGGGTGCACACGCCCGCCCGGCGCAGTGGGGATCCGGCCGGCAGCCAGCCGCCTGCAGCCGGGACGCCGACCCGGACACACCGGCCTCCCGGGGCTGCGGGACCGAGAGGGTCTGGGCGCCGAGCTCAGGCCGGGCGGCCGGGTCCTCAAGGCAGACCGGTCCCCAAGGGCTCCCGGGCGGCCGCGGGCGGGGCGGCTCCGGGTGCAGGGGACCGGCCGGGACCTACCAAGCCCGCCCTCCCCGCGGCCCCGCCCTCCCCGCGGCCCCGCCCTCCCCGCGGCCCCGCCCTCCCCGCGGCCCCGCCCTCCCCGCGGCCCCGCCCTCCCCGCGGCCCCGCCCTCCCCGCGGCCCCGCCCTCCCCGCGGCCCCGCCCTCCCCGCGGCCCCGCCCTCCCCGCGGCCCCGCCCTCCCCGCGGCCCCGCCCTCCCCGCGGCCCCGCCCTCCCCGCGGCCCCGCCCTCCCCGCGGCCCCGCCCTCCCCGCGGCCCCGCCCTCCCCGCGGCCACGCCCTCCCCGCGGCCCCGCCCTCCCCGCGGCCCCGCCCTCCCCGCGGCCCGCCTCTGCCCTCCCCGCGGCCCCGCCCTCCCGCGGCCCCGCCTCTGCCCTCCCAGGCCCTGGGCTCTTTCCTAAACCTTCGGCCATTTCCGTACACGCTTGGCCCCCTCCAGTCCCGCCCTCCACCGGCCCCGCCTCTGCCCCTCTCGGGCCCTCCCTGGGCCATTTCAGTACAACCTCGGCCACTTCCGTCCACGCTCGGCCATTTCCACACACATTCGGCCATTTCCGCACACGCTCGGCCATTTCCGCACACGCCCGGCCCGCCCCGCCACCTGGGCCTGAGCGGAGGTGGTGACTGGGCCGGTCCCTGGGCCGCACCACGCCTGACCCCCGGGATGGAACCGGGCCGGGGCAGCGCACGCGGAGCGCGAGCCGCAGGGGCCACGGCCATCGGAGAGGCTGAGGACTCGCGAGCCTCTAAGCCCGAAGTCCCCATGGCTTCCCCCGGGGTCTGGGCAGACCTCCCGCTGCGGCCATGCGGGCGGGCCTGACCGTGGGCCGGGCGGAGGCCTGCGCTGCGCGGGGCGGCATGGACAGCCCCCGGCTTCCTGCGGGACCCGCGTGCGCTTCTATAATATGATATTCAGAAACGGGAATAATAGAAAATGCTTTTCAAAACTTAGAATTTTCTGTTGGCCTCAAAGAATTCTGAAACTCATTTCCCCGGAAATTACCCTGCACTGGTCCGACCTTGGCTCTGGCTTTTATGGTGAGGTAAAGCCGAGCACAGCAAAGTGAGCTCAGCAGTCCGCAGCGGAGCCTGGGCCGTCCCGCCCAGACCCTTCTCCCCGGGGAGATGGGTCTTGTTGCTTTGCCCCCAGACTTAGCTCCTGTGCCCAGAAGGTCGGAGCGAGAGAGGCTGACAGAGCTATTTTCACAGGCTGATGCTCCACCACTGAGCCACACCAGCCGACAGTCAGTCTCACCTGAAACTTCCTCTGGGCGACAGGCACAGGCTCCCCTCCGGGAGGGCGCCCAGCACTCCCCTGGGAAAGCTCCCTCTCGGGGCTGGGCCCGCTGGCGTCGTCAGGCCCTAGGTGGGACACAGGTGACCCCTCACCCCAAGTGACCGTTTCCCAGGTGTCTAGTTTTCCAGACTCCTCCCGACTTGGGGGTGGAGGTGGGAGGGAGCTGGCCCTCGTCCTGCGGGTGGTCCGGTGGAGGGCTTAGGGGGTTCGGGGGGGTCTCAGGAGAACAGTCAGCCGCTGCCAGTGTGTCCTTCCAGGCCAGTCTCATGGACTGGCTGGTCGGCGCCCGGGCAGGGTCACTGGCCATGCAGCTGGCCCTGCGGCAGCCACGGGGTCACTGGCTGATTTTGCTCTTTTCTGGGCCCAGACGCCGTCTCCAGGAGGAACGGACTGGGGTGCGAACCACAGGACAGGGGTGTGCTGGGGGAGGAGCGGTCACCCCGGGCGAGCCCCTCCCCCACAGTGCCCTTAGCCAGGCACTGGGCTTTCGTCCTGCTGGCCCCGGCCCCTCGTGCTTGCTCTGCCCGCCTGCCTACCTGCCCACCAGTCCCAGCTAAATGGCCGGTGGGGACTCTGAGGTGCAGAGGAGGAGGGGGGCGGGAATGGAAGGGCCCTGGGGCTGGGCCTGAGGCTGCGGCGGCCAAGTCAGGCCTCACTGACTCACTGACCAGGATGCTGTCGGCCTGGCTGTGCGGACGGTGTGTGACGGTCACACAATCGGCCCGGGAGCCTCGCGCCTCTCGGAGGCGGTGTGTGCAGGAGGCAGGCTTCCCCAGCCTGCCCGGCCCAGGGGAGCAGGACTGGGGTTGGGGACCTGCCCCGCTTTGGTCAGGAGAAGGCAGTTTCCCCGGGACCTAACTAACCAGGCTCCCCGATGCTCCACCCACGGGGCCCTTCCATCGGAGCCCCCGCCACCTGCCCACCTGAGGCTGAGCCCGCTCCACTCCGCTCAGGTGAGGCCTGACCCCTGCCCAGCCAGAACCCTGAGGGCCTGCCCCCACACTCACACCCGGACTCCTGCGCCCAGGTGAGGGGCCGCCCAGCCCGCCCCTCCCGGGAGCGCCGGCCTTGCTGCTGGAGCAGTGGGGTGGGGAGGAGCCACATGCACGTGGGAGCACCGCTAACCCACAGCCGTCCTGGCAGGGGTTGCGGCTGCCCCGACCACGTGCCAGGCGGGGAGGTGTCGGGCCTCGGGGTGCTCCCCGCAAATGAGGACAGGAACGCTCAGAACCCTCGGACGAAGAGGGACGCGGCCGACCCCCCGACCTTCCGGACACCCAGTGCTTCTGGTCGTTAGCGGGAACCCCCCGCGCAGTTCTGCTCTCTCCACGGACCCGAGTCACACCAGCAGCGTCCGCGGCCGGCGCCATGGGGGTCACCCGCGGCCCTCAGCCCAGCAGGGGACAGCCGGCGGGAACCTGGGCCGGGGGAGGGCCCGGATTTCGGGGTACCACCTGGGAGCAACGCAAACCAGGAGGGTGGGGTCCTCAGGACAGAAGTGGGGTCAGGACGGAGCACCGGAGCGGAGGGCCCCACCCCTCACCGGCTCTGGGCCTGCCGTCCGCGCCCCATCGCCTCCACTGAGACAGGAAGTCCCGGCGGAGGTCGATGAACACGGAGCCGTGAACACGAAGGTCAGGTAGACACGCGGGTGTGACAGACACTCGGGGGAGGGCGCGCTGAGGAAGGAGTCACCCCTCGGGCTCGGCACGCACCGGCTGCTTTATTACGGTGAGACGTCCGGCTGCCGCAGGCAGGGGGCGCGGGCCGAGGCGCAGGGCCCCGTCAGTCGTGGGGCATGATTCGTGGTGCCGTTAGATTTACCTCACTTCTTAGGGGCGACAAATAGGGGACATGATCAATAAAGTCAGAGCGCTGGAATCAAAGGCTCCCTCAGGCCCCACGTGATCTCACCGGTAAGTGTGCTTCCATACGGTCCCTCCGATGGGACCGCACACTGTGACAAGCATGGAAGCCGGGGCCTCTCTGGGGACACTGCTGGGGGGGCGGGTGCCAGTGCCGGGCACGGCAGGGACCGGACATCCTGGGCGGCCCGGGGCAGCCAGGAAGCAGGGAGCCCGCAGCTGCAGGGGGCCGTCACCCCTGGTCGTGAAATCCAGAGAAATCAGCCAAGGAACCAGGTCTCGTTCCGGCACCTGCTGGCAACCTAGTCAAATGGGGATGTCTTTGAAATCTAGACAGTCTGATTATTCACTATCTTCCTCATTTCATCAGCTGAGCAATTCCATGGGAACACATAATGCTGGTTTCCTGCAACTTCTTGATAAAAAATCTGCAAGGCTCCTGTCAAACACACCACGGGGCTGGGTCTCTCGCACGGTGCCGCTGCAGCATGGCCCCAGAGGGCGCCGTTGCACCCGCTGGACAGTCCGGGGAACCGGTGACAAGGCCATTCCTCCCAGGGAGCAGGCCAGGCTGGGACAGCAGGTGCGTGCATTTCCCGTAGACTGTCAGCCAGGCTGCCTCGCAGGCGGGCCTGGGCTCGGCCACAGCAACAGCTGAGCAGGTGGCACCGCGGCTCCCACCTTCCTGCCGGTGGAGACCGGGAGACCGGCCCTCCGTCTGTGCGGCCCAGCGAGGCGAGGGCGAGAAAGCCGCCGCCCGCACCGGAACCCAGCCCGCCTCCCCGGAACCTTCCGTGAGCAGCGCGCCCCAGGCTGGGCTCCCGGGAAGGAACCGTGACGGACAGCGGGACAGGAGGCCATCACTCGGAGGGCTTGGTGGCGACCTGGGAATTAATACTGACCCACACCAAGCGGTCCCTCGGGAGCAGCGCCGGGCGTGGGAGGCGGGGCTCCCAGCTACAGCCCCTTCTTGGGGGGCAGCCGGCCGTTGGCCCGGGGCGGCGGCGGGGGCGCCGCGAAGTTCCAGTCCACGGGGCTGAGCAGCTGCTGCGTCTTCTTGTGGGTCCAGTAGGGGTTGAGCACCAGCGTGAGGAGGCTCAGGCCCAGCAGGAAGAGTGCCAGGTGGGGCGGGTCCAGGGTGTCCCGCAGGCCCTCCCAGTGCTGCAGGCACACCCACCACATGTGGTAGGTGAGCACCATGCGGCAGTGGAACATGTGGACCATCAGCCACTGGTTCGCCTTCCAGAGCAGCGAGTCGGCCCAGCCAGCCTGCGGGAACACAACAGCGGTCAGCACGGCCGTGCATGGACACGTGTCCTGCCCAGGCCTCCTCCCACCCCTGTGCCCAGCACAGAGGGACAGCAGCGCTGGCCGGGCCTGGCCGGGCGCTGGGCTGCTGACCAGCCCTCCCCTGGGGACAGCCCAGGAGCCGCCCAGGGCAAGGTCAGTTCCTGGCCCACGGGCTTTTGTGTATTTGACCTCAATGCCCCGGGACTGAGCCATAGTGACCCTGCCGAGGTCATTCTAATTCACAGGACACCTCGCTTCCAGGGCTGCAGCCAAACCACAAAGCCAGCCTGCTAAGGGTCCCTTCTCATGCTGGTCTCAGCCAGGACTTCTGGCCTCTGACCCCAGACTGTAGGCAACAGCAGCAGAGAGAGCAGACGGGTCCCCAGCGACTCTGCGGGAGGCCCCGAGGACACTCCTTCTGGCGCGGCTGCTCAGCCGGCCATGGTCTGACCGGGAGTGCGGCCCTGCATGTGCGCCAGTGTTCCCGTCAGCGCGTGGACGTGGCTTCGCTAAGCCACACTCAGTGACCTTCCGAGCAGGGGCACTCAAGACCTCCATCTGCCTCTGGCAGGTGCCAGCGCTGTACATAACACAGAAACGTCAGATATAAAAAGCACAGGCCAGCTGCTGGCGGCCGGCCCCTCACAGAGGGACAGCCAGCAGAGAGGAGGCCGGAGGTGGGGGCGCACGGCTGTCGGCCATGGACCCGGTGAGACAGTCTCAGCGGACGGAAGAGCCATCCAGCTAACAGTCTAAAGGCGAGGAATCGGGGTTAAAGCGGGCTCCGGGACAGCGATGACAGCTGTGTGAGCGTGCGGATGCCGCTGGCTGTCAGGAAAGCCCTCCAGACCAGCGAGACGGGCCTCCCCCTGCCAGATGGCCCCGGAGCGAGGAGGGCAGCGCTGTGGGGCGTGGGAATGAGCACCGAGCAGCCGCAGTGGGAAAGTGTGAGGTTTCATCTTCCAAAAGCAGAACTGGGACCCGACCCGGCACCCCATCTGTGGTCTCCAGGGGAAGTGGGCTCCGTGGCTCCTGCTCAGCCTCACCCGCTGCCACCTGGACTGCTCCAATGCGTGTGCACAGGGAGGCGTGTGCACGGGAGGCATGTGCACGGGAGGCGTGTGCACGGGGAGGCGTGTGCACGGGGAGGCGTGTGCACGGGAGGCGTGTGCACGGGAGGCGTGTGCACGGGAGGCGTGTGCACGGGAGGCGTGTGCACGGGGAGGCAGCACTCCACGGCCCCGCAGGTGACTGTCACATGGTCAGCCCGTGTCCGTCACAGCATTGGGCATCTCCGTGTCCAGCACACCTGAGGGTCCGACTCAGTCAAGGCCTGCACCTCAGCTGCAGGCTCCCCAGCCCCATTGCAACCACTTCTTTAACATGAACACAATTTGCCCTGCTGGTGTGGCTCTGCGGACAGAACATCGGCCTGCAGACTGAAAAGTCCCGGATTTGATCCTGCTCAGGGCACAGGCCCGGGTTGCGGGCCTGATTCCCGGTAGTGGGCGTGCAGGAGGCAGCCAATCCGTGATTCTCTCTCATTGTTGATGTTTCTCTCTCTCTCCCTTCCTCTCTGAAATCAATGAACAAATTTTAAAATAAAATTAAATTAAAAATTAAGTTCAGCCAAAAACAGCTCTTGCTGGTGCCCGGGGGACGCTCACCTTCAGCAGCATCCAGGACACGCAGGTGAAGGGCGTGCTGACCTCCAGCAGCAGCGTGGCCATGGCCAGGTAGTGGCCGGCCTGCAGGTTGGCCAGCAGCCCCAGGAAGCCCAGGAAGGCGAAGAGGTGGTGCAGCGCCAGGAAGGGGTCGAAGGTGCGGAAGCGCGCGTTGGACAGGTGCAGGGCCGCGTTCTCGAAGCAGAAGAAGCCGGTGGCCGTGGCCACGTGGAACCAGGACCAGCTCTGCTGGGCGCGCACCTTGTCGGCCGCCAGCACCGGGTCCGCCAGCAGCGTCCACAGGCCCGCGGCCGTGCCCTGCGCGCCGAACACGGCCCGCGTGGCCGCCAGGTTCCAGAAGACCCGCTCCTTGGCCACCAGGGCGTGGTACGTGGCGTTCAGGGAGGAGGACAGCTGGTGGCACACCACGAAGACGCCCAGGTAGAAGGCAAAGCCGGCGGCCACCAGCGCGGCGCGGACCCGCCAGGCGGCGTAGTCCAGGTCGAAGACGCTCTCCGACGCGCCCTGCTCGCCCGCGAGACTCATGGTCCCGAGTCCCGGTCACGGCGCGCGGTCAGCGCAGGGCCGCCGGGCCGCACGCGGAGTCTCGTCCAACACGGAGGGCCGGAGCCGCGGCCGCTGGGGCCCTCATGTATCCGCCCTCGGCCTGAGGGAGAGAAGACGGGCCTGGCGTCGGGTGACCGGAAGCGGGCAACGCGGCTCCGGGTCCGCCTCGCTTCACCCTCACGCCTGTCTGCGTCCTGGCACAGCGCGGGGACGCCCTCCGTCACGTGTGAGAAAGGAAGTCACACGAAGACGGGGACCCAGCGGGCACAGGAGGCGCAGCCGCTAACAGGCCGCCCCCGCCCCTCTCGGAGGCCAGACCCCAGGTGTCACCCTGGATGCCGCCTCTCGCCTTACCTGGGCGGGGAAGGCCGGCCTGCAAGCACCTCCCCCGCCTGCGGGCCCATTCCCAGCCCAGGCCCCGGCAGAGGGACAGCCCAGCTCGCCTGGGGCAGGCCCCCGCGGCCAGGGCCTGGAGCCGCCGTCCAGCGGGCAGCTCTGCGGAGAGCACCGCGGAGGTGCTGTGTCCGGGGACCCAGCCGGTCTGGCGCACAGTCGGGGTCGGTGCCCCGTGACCCCATGGACGGGGGATCAGCAGGTCCTCCTTCTAACCTAACGGGAAACACCCCTAACTAAACCAAGCATCACGAGGACCGGGGAGAGTTCACAGCCCGGGCGCAGGCACTTCCTCCTGCAGCTGCAGGGAACGGGGGGGGAGTGCTGTGCGCAGGCTTCCCCGCACCAGCTTCTCTCCTCAGCAGACACAGGCCGCCCTGCACGGCCCTGCGATGCTGCCCTCACACTGTCGCTTCTCAGTGACCCGGGTTTGACGGACAGAGGTCACTGAGCCGGGCTCTGAGGCACAGAGGTCCCACACGCCCGAGGCCGCTGGCCTGTGTGAGGACAGCAGGTCAGAGCCTGACCGCCTGACCTCGGAGCCCCCAGGCCCCTGGCCTCCTGCACCTCCCCCGCTGAAAACACGGGCTCTCCTGGCCCCGGCCTGGACCTACGGGCCCCCACACCACGCTGGCCCTCAGGCCCAGCTGCCGCCACCTCCCCCAGGCCCTCCGGCCACCTTCCCCAGCGGAGGCTCCACCGTGCTCACGCTGCCCTGTGCTGACCCCCGGCCAGCCTGGACGGCCCTCCACCTCGGGGCCCACCGAGGGCAGCGCAGAGTGCAACAGGCTCCAGCTCTGCGTGTCCCGGCTGCATGCGGGACGTCTGTGACACTGAAGGCACCCGCTCCAGGGACCCGCCCGCGGGACCCACCAGGAGGCAGGCGCCCTGGCGAAGCCGCCAGGGAGCAGTCAGGTAGAGTGGACACATGCCCAGGACGTGACCTCGTGAAGTAAAACGTGTTTGACGTAAAACAAAGTTGTTCTGTACACAGACCTGGTGCGACTCCGGGTTAAGAGGCGGCAAGAGCACTTGGCTCTGGGTGTGGGTGTGGGCGAGGGGTTTTCCCGCCGGTTCTGATGTTTGCCTCCCTGGCTCGAGAGATGCATCCCCCAGCACAGCCAGGAGCACGCCTGGGCGCCTGGGACCCCCCCACCCTCAGCCATCCAGAGCCTGAGGCCAGGCCAGGCCAGGTGCCAGGCAACCAGGGCCCACGCCGACAGCTCCAGGCCCCCAACTGCTCAATCCAGCCACCCCGCGTGTCCCCTGCCCGCCTGCCGCTCCTGGGAAAGCCCAAAAGGGCCTGGCCTCGACCTTCCCCTCTCCTGCCCCCTCCCCCCAACCTCCCGACCCCCCGAGTCTCCCCATGAGGTGCTTGTCTGGGACCCGCGTGTAATGGCCGGCCTCTCCGTGCTGCCCGGGCGGACCCCAGAGTGCACAGCTGCTTGTGCAGCACGTCTGTCCCCGGCCCGCCCAGGCAGGGCGAGCACCAGGCGGTCCCCGGGCGCCGGCTGGGGAAGGTGAGCTCGGGGCAGGACTCGGAGTGCTGGGTGGGGAGGAGCCCTCCCCCAGAGGACCCCCGGTGACCCCGAGGGGCTGCCTGCCCGCACCCAGAGCTCCGCCCGGCCCCTCAGCTTCTCCCTGGGCTTCTCCCTGACGGTCAGAGAGGGGCTGGTTCCCGTTTTGCGCGGTTGCGTGACCGTGCCCTTGGCCGAGCCCGGAGGCTGGCCGCGACCCGGTCCCCTCGGTAGTGCCAGAGCAGGGCTGTTGGTGGGGGGCGGGATGAGGGCGCCAGGGCACTGGGACCAAGGAGCCAAGAGCAGCTGCTCAGTGGGTTCAAACTCTGGTTCTGCTGTCCAGGAGCTAAGAACACATTTCCTCCCACTCCGGGCCAGGGCTGCCAGGAAATGAGATCAGGTACGGGCAGGCTGGGGGGCCCATTACTAACACGCAGCACCTGCTACGCGCCAGTGTGTTCAACTGGCCACCGCTCAGCACGGAGCGCCAGGTCCCAGCTCTCAGACGCACAGGCTGGTGACGGCCCCGCGGGGCAGGACCAGGGACGAGGGACCGCCGGTGCCACTGAGGCCGCCCAGGCTGCGGCTCTCGCCCGTGCCTGAGGAACGTGCCGGCCCTGGGCCAGCACACAGCTCTGCCTGCCTTCCTGCAGTGCCCACGGCTCCCCCGGTGCCCACAGGCAGGTGTAGACCACGGAGCTGGCAGGTCTCCAGTGCCGCCTGGGGTGAAGGGGACAGTTCAGCTTCTCCCTTCCTCCGGTGAGGGACCCGAACGATGGCAAAGGGTCTCCTCCTGCTGTGGCGGCTCTCGCTGTGAGCTACGCACCAAGCACACCAAGCCTGGCCGTCCTGGAGCTCCGAACAGACCTCCCCAGTCCCCCTGCTGCCCCCTCCTCCCTGCTGCCCCATTCTCTTTCCTTCCTGCCCCCTCCTCCGACTCCCCAGCCCCCATCTACAGCAGAGGGCAGTGGACCCTGGGACAAGAGCAGGGGGTCAGGGAAGGTGGCCAAAGTGGACTGCCGGGCGAGGGAAACTGCAAGAGCAAAGGCTGTAAGACAAAGGACCACTGACCAGCTGTCCCGACTGCCTAGGACTCGGGAGGGGCCGGCACACGGACCCCAGCACGGGGCCCGCGTGTTTCTGAACCACAAGCTGGACTGTCTGATGGTACGATGCCTGCGACAGGACGGGAGGTGCCAGGGGCAGTGAGAGGCCCACACCGAGGGCAGGGAGGGCAGGGGTGGTGCCAGCACCCCAGGGGGGAACGGAGCTGGCTCCAAGGACTGTGAGTCCAGGAATACACTGTCCTTCCAGGTCACACCCCGAGAAACCCCAGACTGGCGTCTGGCCTGTAGGTGCCCCTCTGAAGACGGTGCTCATTACCTACACACACAGCTCCACACATACACAGCTCCACAGACACAACCAGTACAACTCGCTACAGGCACACCTCGCTACAAGTCCTATTGCCCTGCCCCTCTCAGTCCCTAACCTCTCCCTCGCTGGCCCTTGCTCAGGACCTCCCGCGTCTGCACAGCTGCGTGCACTGGTTTCTGGGCTGTGAGCACCCGCAGCAATGCCCGGGCCAGGGAAGCGCCTGAGCCACAGGACGAGGCCAGGCTGTGGGGATCTGCAGGGACCCAGCCAGGCCGGCGGAGCCGCCCATGCCCCTGCTGGACCCCGCCCTGGCCCGCCCGGCCATCCTGGAGCCACAGAGCTCCCGAGCGTCCTCTCTGGCTGCTTACCTGACCACCTCCCTCACCTTAGGTGGCACAGGGGACAGGGCCCGCATGCCCACCTCACCCAGGCCCCAAAGTAGGGCTTCTCCCTGTCGCCCTACAGATAACCGTTCCCCTCCCAGGGGAACTCTGGGGACCCCACAGCAGCAATCACCCTGCTCTTTGGATCAAGCCCAGCCCCTCCACAGCAGCAGCCCTGAGGCTGACGGAATGTAGAGGAGCCGCAGCCCAGAGGGAAGTGAAGGCGGGAAAGCAGCTGACTCCGCAGCTTCATTTCGGTGGGAAAGCCTGTCCACAGCCACCGGGCCTCCTTTCTCTGCAGGCCCCGGCGGCCGGGCCGCTCCGGGCACGTTTAATAAATAAGACGGGGCAGGCCCTGTGGGTCCCGGACAGGACACACCTGTGGGTGCACAGGGCGCCCGATCGCTGTGGAGACCGCCCGGCACTCGTGAGTGGTGAGCACGCGGACCCCACACTCGGAAATGAAGTAAAAAACAGGACCGAAAGGCCCGTGGCATGTCCTGCTGGACTATTGAGCAACAAGCCCCGAGGGCCACGGAGCAGAGGCTGACCTGCAGGACAGGACCAGGGGCGGGTGTTCCTGCCGGAGACACCCCGCTGCTCCCCGCCAGGCTGCTCCCGCGGGTGCCCTCACCCGCACCCGCTGCCCGGCCTCACCCGTGGACCCAGGGCTCCCTCCTCCCGCCATGAGCCATGAGCTCAGCCAGCCGCAGGCGCTCCCCGCCGCCACAGGAATTGTTTGCAACATCCCGAGCCTAACGTTAACAATTGCAACAGAGTTTCCTCCCAGACCGGGATCCGGCTCCACGGAGGAAACTGACACCAGACCGGCGTGACGCCGTGACCGGGACCCACCAGCTCTCAGCAGCCCGGGCCGGTGCCGGCGGCCCCGGGCTCAACGTCAGCTCCCACTGCCCCCGAAGGCCGAGGGGGCTGCCCGGATGGGGGGAGGCCAGCCCGGGGCCTGGGAGTGGCTCAGACAGCGCCCCGGCACCCCGCGCCCCGGCACCCGCCCCGCCCCCAGGCCGCTCGCCGCTGTCACCCCAAAGCCCCCGAACTCCGGGCCGAAGCCCAGCGAGGACCCGCCTGCACCGCGGCCTTCCGGCCCCGCCCCCGCCCCCCCCCCCCCCCCCCCCCCCGTCCCGGGACCACCGACCCGCTGCCCGAGAGCGCGGCCCGGACCCCAGCAGAGCCGGACCCGGAGCCCGGGCGCTGGGCCTCCCCGCCCCGCCGGCCCCGCGCCCTCCCCGCCCGCCCCGCCCGCCCCGCCGGCCCGCGCCCTCACCTGCGCGCCGCCCCGCGCGGACCC